AGAACAAGAGTATTTTTTTTTCTATATATATATATGTATTTATATTTGCATCTTCAAACAAATTTGGCCTGTTTAATAAGAACTCAAAAATATTCTAGAAAAGGAAAATATACATGTAAGGTCTCCAAACTTTGTAAAATAAATAACGACAATGAGTGTATGGGAGTACTTTAAGACTTTAAAGATGAAGAAACACACTGCTTGAAGGCTTTAATCATGTTGCTAGCAATAATGCTTGATTCAACCGGAAATATCATCTGAACAATGGTGAAAATTAGACTTAAATCTGAAATCTAAGATATTTCTTTTATTGCAAATTCAAGTAAAAGAACAAGAAAAAAGAATCCTAAAAGGCTTACGAGAAGGTGCAAAGCCATAGACAATGATCATGGCATTAGGTTTCAAAATGTAAACATGTAAAATGTATGTTGTCTTTTTTATCATGGCGTTTCACAGGTACAGTCGAGATTCACAGCATATGGGCTACGAATAAAATGACAACAAATTACTAAGTCTTATCCCTGTTAAATTTGGTGTTGACTCACAAGGGTCTATAAATAGTGAACACAGCCTACTCCGGCATGGTTGAACTGAATCAACAGATTACTAAATTACATTTCACCTGCAAAAAATAGAAGAGTTTGGGGGTAGGGGCTTAATCTAGGTTGAATGTGTCATCCTCGAGTGGATAATCAATTTTTGTTGCAAGATGGTCCTTTACTAGCTTCAACCTATATCTATCTAAAACCTCGAAGTATGCATGACCCTCGTTGAATTTGTCCTTATCAACGAAAAAATGGTGGTCAGGGTATTGAGACTTTGCAAAGAAGAAGCGTCATTTCCAACCCCTAAGAGAGCTCGGGGTATCTGGTGTTCTAAATTCTCCATTTGTAGATAAGTACATGAAGCAGTTGTACCTCAACAAGAATTTCATATAAAAAATCATCCTCAAGAGGTCGAGTCTAGGCTCGACCTCGAGGCATCTACACTAGATGAAGAAGTATATCAAAAGCTTTCACCTGTTGGGGCCCAATTGGCCCAAGCACATAAAATGGGAGGTCAAGAAGTGGACGAAGAACAGGTGGAGAGGCCACCAAAGCCCGGCTAAACAAATTTGGCCTGTTTAATAAGAACTCAAAAATATTCTAGAAAAGGAAAATATACATGTAAGGTCTCCAAACTTTGTAAAATAAATAACGACAATGAGCGTATGGGAGTACTTTAAGACTTTAAAGATGAAGAAACACACTGCTTGAAGGCTTTAATAATTTTGCTAGCAATAATGCTTGATTCAACCCGAAATATCATCTGAACAATGGTGAAAATAGACGTAAATCTGAAATCTAAGATATTTCTTTAATTGCAAATTCAAGATCAAGAAAAAAAAAAAAAAAGAATCCTAAAAGGCTTACGAGAAGGGCAAAACCATAGACAATGATCATGGCATTAGGTTTCAAAATGTAAACATGTAAAATGTATGTTGTCTTTTTTATCATGGCATTTCACAGGTACAGTCGAAATTCACAGCATATGGGCTACGAATACAATGACAACAAATTACTAAGTCTTATCCCTGTTAAATTTGGTGTTGACTCACAAGGGTCTATAAATAGTGAACACAGCCTTACTCCGGCATGGTTGAACAGAATCAACAGATTACTAAATTACATTTCACCTGCAAAAAATAGAAGAGTTTGGGGTAGGGGCTTAAGCTAGGTTGAATGTGTCATCCTCGAGTGGATAATCAATTTTTGTTGCAAGATGGTCCTTTACTAGCTTCAACCTATATCTATCTAAAACCTCGAAGTATGCATGACCCTCGTTGAATTTGTCCTTATCAGCGAAAAAATGGTGGTCAGGGTATTGAGACTTTGCAAAGAAGAAGCATCATTTCCAACCCCTAAGAGAGCTCGGGGTATCTGGTGTCCTAAATTCTCCATTTGTAGATAAGTACATGAAGCAGTTGTAACTCGACAAGAATTTCATATAAAAAATCGTCCTCAAGAGGTCGAGTCTAGGCTCGACCTCGAGGCATCTACACTAGATGAAGAAGTATATCAAAAGCTTTCACCTGTTGGGGCCCAATTGGCCCAAGCACATAAAATGGGAGGTCAAGAAGTGGACGAAGAACAGGTGGAGAGGCCACCAAAGCCCGGCTTTAAGCGCATCCCTGAAAAAGGTCATCTTACCCTCTTGAACATCTACTACCATCTTAGTTGGCTCGAGGGCATTTACATCCCACAAAGGCATAACCCCGAACACCGTGACCGTCTTAATAATTACATATTTTTTTATACTTAGTGGGCTCTTTAAAGTACGTCAGGACTACCTCATCCTTAGGGTGCGAACTAATTGGTCACTCAAAAAACCCAATATTTCCAAACTCAAACTTTGTTTACTAGAAGTTGAGAATGAAAAAGTGAAAAATGAGAGTAAAAAGTAGGGTAGTTATACGGGTCTTTGGAAGGTCAAAGATCGTATAATCTCAGCCCTCGAATCCATGACATGTGGTAATCATCTAAGATCGAGTGCCACCTGTCCAACACGTGCCAGACATGTGGCACACATTTAGCTCTAACCCACAAACCTAGAAGGAAATCCAACCTCAGTTTGTTGCACCTCATCGCATCTCACCTCGCAGCTCAAGCACACAATTGCTAGCTACGATGTGGATGCACGAGAGCTTGTGATGTTTACAATTATCATTTAGCCCGATCTCGAACTTAAAAAGCCCGAGCTCTCCATTCCTCAATTATTGAAGTGCTGGGGTCGAGCTCCGAAGTACAGGTCGAGCGCAGATGTCATGGGAACGAAACCCTTATCCAATCTCACACCTTCTAGAAAAACATCAATCCCAACTTTGACTATAACTTGTCTTAACCTTTACCCTCATCCAAATCACTTACCCATCACGATTCAATTCAAACTCAAATAGAATACTTTCAATATAACACAAACAACTTGTATGATAAGGGTAAGGATTACAGGTCATTGGATCCTTTTAAAATTCCATCACTAACATCTATAAATACATGACTAAAGTTCACAATTCAAGTACGCTTTTATAAGGTTTCTAATTTATAGTATCACGCATAAATTCTCTTTCCAATTTAAGTATCTGAGAGACGATGAGAACACAGGTAACGAGAGATCTTGTTCGCGCTCAGTTTCAGTCATCAAGCCCAAAAATCAACGTGTACGATTTTTGGTAGCATCAATTTTAAATAAAATAAATATTAGTAGATATAATTTCATATAATTGTGGTTTAATTTAGATATTGATAAAATACTTTATAAACCAAAACAAAATTTGTTCACGTAACTAAAAGTCTAAAACTCTCATACATTCAAAAGCAAAGAACAAAGAGTCCAAACCCTAAACTAGGACTAAATCTTCAAAGAGGTGGGCACAGCACCCAATGCCAAAGCGCCACCTCAAGGGGTGGCCTGATAGGACGGTCGCATTGTCTACTAAAGTTTCTCTCGTGAACTGGGCTTGGTATGGTGTGTGGGCCACCCGTCGAGGTGGCACACTTTGATAGAACGGTCGCACAACCTATTGAAGTTTTTCTCGTGAACTTGTCTTGGTCCGATTGGCCTATCCTGATAGGATTGTCACACCGCCTATTGAAATTTCTCTCATGAACTGGGCTTGGTCCGACTACAAAATGTAAAATTCGATCACGAGAATTGAATAAACCGATTGACCTCAAAATCTATTTTCATTTTATCCACTGCACCCTATCCTACTCGCGGTGTAGCGCGTGAAAACGAAAAAAAAAATTTGGAGGGATTCTTATAGAGGTAAGGCGGCAAAATTCTCCAAAACGTCTCCGTGCACAATCAATACTCTCTTTAAATCTTCTGTGCGCAGAAGATTTTCATCACATTCAGAGGTAAAATCTCTTGTATCTATACACTTAATCTATATCTATACACAAGCGTTTCCACTAATTCATGAATTGCTTCTCAATATCACTAAGTTTTTTTTTTTTTTTAATCACGATTGGTTTTACATTGGATAGGCGTCGAGGAATTTTATCACGTATATACTTGTTATAATATGAGTGTATAACCTGTATTTTATTGTTTAAACCGAGAAAAATGAAGAAGAAAATATCTCATTGCAAGTTCAATTGGACAATTTACAATCTGAATATGTGCTCTGTTTTCGTGTTGATAATACACCATCCGTGGAATTGGGGTGTTGAAACTGAACACTTTCAATTGAATACATTTTGTTTTAAGATTCAGTATTTAGTTCTTCGATGATCTAGAACTCATACTTAATAATATCCAACCTTGTACAGTGTCGTACCTTCATCGTTATTGATTTGATTAGGATTTAAGGCAATAACAATATTAAACGTTTCTTGCTACTATTTTGGCGAATTCATTGATGAATGCTTTGTTTTTGAAAGTTAATCACCGAATACGACTTGTGTAGTGCTCTTCTTAATTTGTGTAATCTTAATCCCTTGGGAATTGATTCGACTTGGTTTATTGTCGCTTGGAGTTCAATCCTTTGTTCCGTATGTCATGGTTACAAATTGAATCGCATCTTGAGCAAACTGAAAAGGGAATGATACACTTCTCAACTACGATATGCTGTCGCAGGTTAGCATGTGAACGGCTGAGAACTTGCCAACATACTTCGTCAACACCATGACTGCTGTGTTCCTATTGAAGAGCTCACTTGAACCTCTTTAACTTCATCAAGGATCCAAGGAGAACTCTTTTGAATCCCTCTAACTTCATCAAGGATCAAAGGTAATACATTGATTCGGTTGCTCACGACCATGGTGTTTTGGCTAAGCTTAAGTAAAAATTTTATTTTCGAACATGTTTAACTAGTTTATTGTTATAGAAAAAAGTTACTTATACATAAGTTTTTATGATTAGCCGTGCCATAAGGGCCAGGCATAGTGCCTTTAAGTATTAGTTTTCCCCCAAATTTGCTCTTAGAGACTCCAGAATTTGAAATAAATAACCAAAAAAGCTTCAGGAAAGGAAATAAATTAGAAGAGAGGCCTATTGTTCTATTTTGAGCCTCTATTGCAACAGTAACGGTACATTTCCTCTTTGAGCAGAAATATTATGATTTCATTCCACAAGGAACCGATTTCCCTCCATTTCGATGTATACAAATGGCTGATTTCCTTTCCCTTTGCACTTTGAAGAACCATGTTCTGATGCCATGCCTGCTGATGCTGTTTCTACGTAATCCTACTGTTAGCCACAGCGAGTGGATTGATACCTAATTCTCACCTGTCCATCACTTTACCTTAGTTACCTTGCTGGCTGGGAAGTGCAGTCTAGCAATGAGGGGACGTGGTGCACGTGTCTTCCAGTCGAATCCCCTCACACAAACGAAGCCTGGAAAGTATGACAACTAATTATGAGCGGAGACTAACATTCAGGTTCAGAAGTTTTAGGACATTACAGTGACATTGTGAATATTTAGTGATCCAGTACTACTGGATGCAAACGAAGCTTCTAGAATTTGATAAAAATATACCCATCTTTAGGACCAGAGATGGAAGGGTTACAAATGTCATTGGCTTTTTGGGTAAGATGTTGAGTACATGGATGATTGTCATGGTTCTTGCTTGAGGTGAATGGCATAAAACTTTCATCCTCAGTTCCTTCATGCTCAACGTTTTTTTCTTTTTCTTTTTTTTTTTTTGCTAGTTTGAGAAATACTAGGTATGTAATTGCTTAAATTTAACAAGAATCAATGTTTAACTCGAATATTTGTGTGTGACCTAGTTGTGTATCTATTGCCAATAGAAATCTGGAGTAAAGAATCAATTGATCAAGTCCTTGGACAAAAAATGAAACGACAGACATAGTCTCTTTTATTGAGCACATGAAAGTTTCAGATATGAGTTCTTACTCAAATAGTAAATAGTGTGAAATATGAAGAAGTGATGGATAGAAAGTGGAGAATAATGCAGAAGCACAAACACACAAATCAGAGTTTATTATGAAAATTATGCAATTTGGGGAGACATTAATGCAGGGAAGTCTGGAATTTGGCAGAGATTTGATTGGCTTCTCGCCAGCCATTGCTAGAAATGGCAACTATCACGCAATGCTAGTAAAAATTATGGTAAAGCAGAAAAAACAGGCTAGGGAAATGGATTAAGAGATAGCATCATATTTGAGTGAAAGTTTTTCTCCTCAATGGATGGAAAGCTCATCAACCCATGCTTTTGGGGTCGCATCTTTTATTTTCAGCAAGGGGCTCCCAACACATAGGGTAATGTAGCATTTGGGTACCCATTACCCAACCTTTATTTCTTGGCATTTGGATCCTCAACTTTTTCTATAAGGATGGTTTTCGTCCATCTGATGACTAAAAACACAGATTTATTTCTTGGCATTTGGGTTTGCTTTCCTTTTTTTTTTTTTTTCTTTCTCTATTTTATTTATTTATTTTTTCATATAATTAAGTGTTTACCCATTTACCCTCAAAAAGTTTGATATATGCGAGTCACCTGGCTTATGAATGGCAATATTGATGGAAATTGTTAAACTGAGGACCATGGTGCTAAAACATGAAAAGGTTGAAGATCCAGTTGCCAAATAAAGGTCATGACCTGTTCGCACAAATTTAATAAGTTGGGAATCTTTCTGCAATTTTCCATTCTTTTTTGGTGATAAAGAAGAATGAAACAGATCAACAATGTTCCATCAACAGGATTGTGTCATTTTTATGAAATGTATCCATCTACTTGTGCTGTTAAGGTAACGATGTATTTGGCCATTGAAGAATGCATTTCATTTTCTTGCTCTGAGGCTTATGCTTAGGTCGAGTCCTTTCCTAGTATAGAAATGCAGAATCATGAAACAGTAATCATTCTGGCATGATATGAATGGTACTCAAATCACTTAGATTTCTGTTGAGACAGGTCTTGATATAGTGCGTTATATACTATTAAAGGTGGTTAGGACATATCATACCTCTCCAAAAACAATACTGAATACCTTCTGTTGATAGCCCTGACAGAAATAAAGAGAAAATGTAATGTCAGGCTTTCTGGGAGATATCTATCATGTAAGTAATTCTTTATGGCCAATTTACCTTTAAATATCGTGGGTATAGACGTTCCAAAATACACAGTTCTTCGTGGCAAATTCCATAACCAGTCTCTTGGAACATTGATAGGGTTCAGGCTAGATTCATGGTCAGCAAACACCTGTAAACTAACAAGCTTTACTCTGTAATCCATTTCAGAAGATGAGTACTTTGATTTACACGGACTTTATCTGATCTTACCTCATTAACTTGGAAATAGGTACCATTGAGTGGAAAGCTTCCTCGCATAGCTGTTCTGCAGGGTATCTGTCATGATTGGTCATACTGATTAGATTGATCAAGATAGGAATTCTCAAGTAAAAGTTCTTTTCCGGTGCCTACGTTTTTATGGGTATCAGTTCAGTAATTGTTTTTAACAGTTTTTCCTTACCAGAAGTGTGCCTCTAACAGTTTGGGAGTTCCCTTCGCGTATACTGTTGCATGAAAAACATGTTTCATTGGTGCACAGATGTCCAGATTCTTGGGAGATGCATCTTTCTGGTGGCTGAATAGAGTCTGCAGTTTCGCCTGGTAAGGAGCATTGACACGTGTTGTAGAATCAGTTGTGCTAAGTTCAAATTTTAGTGGTTAACTTTGCAATTTGCTCGTCTTCTGAAATTACATTCTTTACATAAATTTTGAAGTTATTATTTTGATTCTCCAAGAAGTGTGCTTGCTTCGTTACCTGGGGTCCATATTGCAAGTAGGTACGAGCTGGGATCATCTGGTTCTCTTTTATCCATCTGCAAATTAAGAAAATTGGGGCATCAAGGAAAGGTTAGCTTGTACACGTGGATGAAATTTTACAGTGAACGAAAGCTAATAGAGTGTTGCTCACCCTTTGTAGCAGAGGATGTGAATCTGGAAGTTCATAGCTGTAGAAGGAGAAAATATTAAAATGATATCCCTTGAGAAATGATCAAATGTATTATCACGCTCATTGTAACTAGGAATAATTGGTGTAATTATCTTTAGTTTTATGATTTATTACAAGTATTTTGCCTTCCATCTCTCAAAAAGTTCATGAACATTATGCTTACACCAATCAAATATGTCTACTTCTTCCTATGGAGTAGCACATTAATCACGATTTATAGCAGAAGTGTTTGCTTACACTAGATGCTCTGTTCTGAGTCTGCTCACATTCTTAAGTTTAGGCATAGGGATTGAAGCTGCTTCTGGAGTTAAAGCTACCAAGGCCTTTGACATGTCACCCTCTTGTAGTTCCGTCCGTTTTTGCATAATAGACTGCAAATTGTGAGTGAACTCTTTCATATTGAGTTGAATAGTGGGAATCTCATCAGGACCTTCGAAGTCGTCGTCCTCAATGTCACATTCTGGAACTTGTGTCTGGTCTAGTACTGGAGTTGTTGGCACTTCAATAATAGGCTCTGGTGTAGCTGGAACTTCAATAATGGGTTCGGCATTGCTGGATTCTGTGTGTGCTTCTAATTGATAAGCTCGAGGTAAATGTAACTGCAAAGGATCGATAATTTTCACAGTATTCTGATAAGCTGCATTGTTTTCTATTGAACTCACAATGCTTTTATCTTCAGTTCCAGGGAGAGCAAGCCTCGCACTGCATGCACATTCATAGGCATTAGTTATATGAAAATAAGATTTACATTGTTTCATCACTTACTCATATGGGATTTTTGAAGTGTATCATCAACTTAATTCTAATGTAGCTTCCAAACCTCATAATCTGGTGTTGAACTTGCTAAATCTAATTGGATGGAATTGGTTTTTGGATCTTATATGGAATTCTTTGGATGTTGCTGTTTGCTTCACATATTTATTTTTCTCATGTATATATTATTGACTATAGGTGATAGATAGAGTCTATATTATTATTGTATAATAATGTTCTTTACCCCACCTAATGTTTCTAACTGGTTTTTATTAAACTGATATTCTATTGAGAAATGGAGCGATGGCCTAAATGATCAAATCTTGCACCAAAATAACGAGGAAAGAAGGAGATGGAAATCTGATTGTTCAGTTGCAATAAAAATTGAATGCATAGACCTTGCAAATGCACTAGCAAAATGTCTGCATTCCCCTCTCAGTGGACAAGCATTGCAATTTGGCTTGCTCTTAGTACAAAACACCTGAAAAGATAGAAGATGTTGCCTTTGGCTTATGTCTTCAAATGTGTGTAATGTTTTTGGTATATAGAAGACACCCTTCAGTGAATATGGCATACCTTTCCAAAGGTAATCATCTGGTAATGCAGCTCATACCTGCAATAAATTAACATCTTAAACCACTGAATGGTACTTCACTTCAAGTATCAATTATTTATGATTGATTAGCAAGTATAGATTAGTAGAAAAATTATGATTACAGTGTTCTTTGATCAAGCTTGCAGAGTCTTGGCCACAGAAATTTCTGAATAGACTCCAATATTGGGTACCTATGCAAGGACAGCAGCATGAGTTATCATCTTTTCTTGCTATGATATCATGAACAAAAATCTGATGAGGCATGGATACTCACAGTTCTAGAAGATGCAGCTGAAGTGACTCAGGCAATGGTTGAAGAGGTACCCACCCCAACCGCACGGCTATACGCCCAACATTTGTGTCAACCTATCAGACGCCATAGAAAATATAAATAAGTTAGTGAAGTTCTCTTCTGTATTGATTTAAGGATCTGTAATCGAGCTTAAATCTTACAGGAAAAGCAAGGTGATGCAGTGTCAAAAGCCGTACACACTCCACGCTCTTCAAACCCAAACCCCTTACGCTCAACAGATACTCTCTGAAAAGTATAAAAAGTTGTAAATGCACAATGTTCTTTGACCGTGTGAAAAGCATTTGAGAAAATCCTGCAAGCTTACTTTGCTTTGTCTGGTGGAACGTCCCTTAGCCATTCCAGATCAATGCTTCCATGGTCTCTAACAAGGCGATTGAGGAATTCCTGCATAAGTTTTCCAACTGGTTATCAACTGTTAAATGGATTGCTGGATGTTTGAGTATTATGTGCCAACTAAGTTATTAAATATTTGAATGAGTAGATTCTTTGTTACAAACTAAACCTGGATTCTCTCCGCTAGTACATTGTTCATTCCCCTTTCTTTGATGGTCTCAGCGATCTCATTAACATCGACACATCTTACTGCCTCCCAGTCTATCGAATCCATCGTGTTGGCCGTTCTTTCTCTTCTGCCACCTTCTTGTGCCTGTTTCCTCAAGCAATCCCAATTGACTGGCTTCTGTTTATCTTTTCTAGTTCTCTCCCCATTTGCTTTACGTTCACTAGCTGTTTTACCAGGATCTTTCAAATTTGAGCCAATCTCCTTGTGCTCAGGAATTCTTAAATTATCAATGTTGCTACTCCCTGTGACATCTGTCAATTTTTGTGGAAACATTGGGATGTTTGATACTTCCTGCATTTTATAGTTATTTTCTTGACAGTGAAACTGTGACTCCAGTTTGCCTGTATGGTTTTCAGTTATCTTTTGGTACACGTCAATTGGATGTTTGTTGCTTGAGCGAAACTTTTCACTGCCGAATTTTGGTATTTCATGACTGATAGCCAAGAATTTCTGAACTGTAGCTTGGGTTGCAGATTCTGTGGACAACACACTTAGTTCTGTGTCACAAAGTTCTTTTCCATTGATAACATTTGAGCTTTTGCCATTCTTTTGAGGTACATCGAAGCGTTCGTCTACTTGTGTTCCTGAACTGGGTGCCATATGCAAAGCAGGCTCGCTGCAGGTAATATCTGACTGGTTCTCATTTTGATTTTGTGAATCGGGAGCCATACTATCTGGTTCAAATTGCCCATCCTCACACAATTTGTTTCCATTCCCTTGATTGTGAACATTTATTATGCTTTGTGATATCTGTGACAGCTTTTGATAAGTAGTGCAGGATTCTACTTCTAAGGTTCTGGGTGAACATGATTCAGTTCTTTCTGCAGTTTGAGATATTACAGAATCTGCAGAGTTCTGAGAGTAAGTCACAGAGTTCTGAGAAGAAAGTGTATCATCCAAGTCTCTTTCATCGCCAATAAAACCTATTGACTCGTTGACTGCGGATTCACGGGATGTATCCGGACAATTTTTAGAGATGGCTGACAATTGTCGACTTAAGTTATCTTTCAGTGTGGTGCCAATAAAGCTATCTCCAGGGGACTTGACACTGTTAACTTCTTTAATGTCATTGTAATCAGATACCAGAATCATCTTAGAATCTTCGCTGCAAGTTAGCTTATTTAATCCTTCATTCCAACCAAATGTATCATCTGTATCCAGACCACGCCCTTCAGGTTCTTTGACTGTGATGTTCACTTTCTCTTGACAAGATTGTCCTTGGCTGCTTTCTGATTCTAAAGGGAATCGGGCAGCAAGTGACATGAAGGCAGAGCTGCAAAGTGATTTTCCTTGGAATCAGCTGAACTCTATAGAAGTAAGTTTAAATTGTTAATAGGAATTCTGTATAAGGTCAGAGGTTCAGCAAACCTAGAAAGATGATCCGAAACATTCTGAGTGAGAAAAACACCAATAACAGAGTCTAAAACTGATCCTTTCCATGGAGAAAACCGCCTGTCCCCTGCATAGCCGTGTAAAGCATAAAAAAATTTAGGACGGACCCAATAAATAAAATATAAAAGTATTTTATTTGCTAGATGCAGCACAAGGCAGGTATTAAGCAGGTGCAATGTGCTTATAACTCTGTTTCATACATAAAACACAACATACATTCACGAGTATCTGTCGGTAGCTTGGTGTTTAATTGGTGATATTTTGCATGGTGATTGAGTAATAGGCTACATATCTCCTTTCCTCATGGTTCTGGATAATCAATGCATGAGTGTTCATTCAATAGTTGACTTTTCCAACCCTCCTCTGGTCAGTTCAGCAATATCATTAATAACACTTATATTTTTATCTGATAGCGTACTTTGGGGAAGTTAAACCATATTTCCAGCTGAAATTTATTAATTAGACAACAAGTGGGCAAATTTGATATCTGTGTATGAATACCTTGGACAAGATGCATGCGTGCAATAAATGAATCTGCTCTCCCACGGAACACTCTTCGTTCTTCTTCCCACCATTTTTCCTTCTCTTCATCTGTGCCGTCAATTCCTTCACTGTTTATATTGTCTAACAAAAGTTTCCACACTCTACTCGTCTCATCATCAAGGTCAACTTTAGGCCGTGGGCGACTTTTTTTAACCTGGTCAAATGAGCTGTCAAAAGGGATAAGAGCTCCATTTCTTTGATATGGAACCAGGGCGTGTTGCTCTTGGTAATTCATATGGCAGGCAATAAATGCATTATGTTCTTGGCTGCTCTTTGCATTTAAATCAAGTTGATTAAATTGCTCAATGATAGCATCAACTGGAGACTTGCATATCCATGTTATAGCCAGTGGAGGACCTGCATTAAATGTCACAAGCGCATCAGAAAGGATAGTTTTCGAAAAACAGCAATCATATATGTCTATTGATTACCCATTGATCTGGCAACGAATTGGTGGTCACTATGTCTGTTTTGCACTGTTGAGTTGACAAGCAGGCTTTTCTTTGTCCGCTTCTTTGTCATCATCATTTTACTGGTATCAGTAGTTAGGGCTTTTGGATCTTGAGTAGGGCCCTTGGATCTCTTTTTATGTGGAGGTTGTAGAATTTCAAATCCTTGTGCAATTTTTGATGTTGTTGCTCCACTGCCTGTAGAAGCTGGCAGTTGTCCACGAATTTCAAGGGGTTGCACCGAGTTCCATACTGGAGCAGGTTCTTTGGATCTTTTCTTTTCCAACCTCTCTGTAGGTCCCATAGCTGCCAGAAATTTTAATTTTTTTTGTTCATTCTGAGTACCATCAGCTGCTGCAATTGCACGATTTTCTGAGGCAATTGCTGTGGAGTTCGTGCTGGAAGTCACTGAATTGTGTTCTTTCTCAATTCTCTTTGTACTGTATATTGCATGGAAATGCATGCCCGGATTGCAATAATTGTTATCTGTGAATTGTTGAAATATAGCACTGTATGCCTGCAAAGAATTGTGTAAAGTCCCAGTTGAATTTGACCTGTAAAATTCTGCTTCAACAGTTGTACCCCTATGTTGTCTTTTTATTCCTCTTTCTTGTCTTTCCTGCATCAAGCACGCTGTGTTGCTGCTGTCGGAATTACTTGAGCTCTTCTGTGTTGACCGAGCATCGGAATTCATAATCAACTGTAAATTATTTCCTTCTTCATCGTGTGTGAAATCCGAGAATATAATTTGACATTTTCCTCTTGTACATACTTTTTGATCCGTAAGTGTAGATTTATCATTCAGTGTATCTGTCTTAGAATGAGGTGGGGGGCTAGATGAATGTCCTTCAGGTTTTGACAGGTAGCCTTCCACTACTTGCTTCGTAGAGCATGTAAGATCATATGCAATCACTTCAGTCTTCTTCAATGAGGCTTCCCTCCCCTGTATGCACTGAATGGTTGATCCTGATTGATCTTTAGCATTGAAGTTCTGTGCTTGTGATTCCATGTCAAAATTCGGAGATGGATGGTGGTGCAATGAGCTTTCATCACTCCCTTGGCCTTCAACGTCAAACTTCAGAGATCTCCTGCAGGTATTTCTTGTGTGCTGAACTGTTTTTGGATCTTTTGTTTCACAAGTTTCCTGATCCAGGGTAGTAGCAGCAGGTTTGTTGACTCCTTTTCTTCTGACATACTTTCTCTTACCAGTCATGGTTTCCTTTGAACTTGGGGCTTTTGTGTTTGTATCACTTTCATTTATTTCCCTCTCAAGGGGAGTTTCAGTTTTGTGATTATTAAGTCCTTTTCTCCGAACATACTTTCTCTTTACTCTTGTGGTTTCCTGGGGATCAGAAGGCCTTCCAACACTTGGTTTAGGAATTATTTGAGATTGGCCTTCTATTATCACTTTGGGCCTGTGCTTTTTTCTTCTTGGTTTCTGCTGTGGCGTTTTGTTCAACTCAATGTCCTCAGTGCCTCCCTTGTCAGGCTTGTGATTCTCCTCCAACTGTGTGGACATTGTTTCACATACATGATCAACAACCAACTGAGAATGTTCTTTCATTTGGAGGAATCCCTCTAATCCGACCCTCTTGATGGCAATTTCCTTCTGTTTCACGTCTTTTTTTCCTAGCATTTCATCTGTGCTTAAATTTGGCATGGCCAACCCTCGTCTTTCGTCAGTTTTTGGGTTCTTCTCTGGTGTTATAGGTGCAAACTGGGATGAAACTACCTCGCTAAAGGTTGCATCTGCCATCCTAGATGGAAAATTGAGGTCGAAGAACAGCCTGGAACGGATACAACTTCCATCTGTAGGATATACAAGATCGACTTCATGTTAGTGCTAGGAAAATGAGAAACCATTTGCAAATATCCAAGCAAAGCTATTCTCGAGTTTCTCATGAGGGTATATTCAAATCTACATGCTTTAATTCTTAACCGAGATTTCATAGCCTAAAAGTAGATAGGTATTTTAAGATGCTAATGCTGTGTTTTGCTGATAAAATCATTGCAGGGAAGCTCGCAAATTTGAAGCTTCAGTCGAAGCAGATACTTGTTTATTTCACAAATTCTGTCCCCATTTCTTATGCTTCATTCTGATTTTGATATTTCACCTGATTGCTTCATCTATCTATGCAGTTCTTATATTGCTGGCAAATATTGTTGGGTTACTCATTCTATGGGCATTGGGAAATGCAGCAATAGACAGATGAATCTTATCTCATGCACAATATTTTTTATTTTTAATTCCAATTCGAGGAGGTCTTGTGTATGTTTCCCACCTTGAAGTTATATCAGTTATTGTGTATCCTATGGTTCATTTAGCAGTACAGTAATAATTGAAAGCACAGTATGACAAAATCGTATCTATAAAGAGAATCTAGATTAAGGACACTCACCATTGGGAATATTCTGTATGCTGTTGCATTCAGCTGGAAAGTTTATTCCAAGGGAAGTGTCTAGATCCACGAGTGAAGGGTTTTCAGTCGTTATTGTACACTGTCTACTGTCAATCTTAGTATGAAAATTTGGTGCGAAAGAGCTGCTTGTTGCATTAAAAGCAGTCTGTGCACTTGCATTGAAGCTAGCTGCATCTGCCAGTGCCAAGAGTTCTCTGAAAGAAACACTGTTCCACATCTCTTCATCATTTACATTTACAGAAAAATTGGACCTGCAGGAATCATCACCATTAACTTGGGATTTTGGGGCTATATCTGTTTCCCTAGTGTTAAAATTCCTGTGTATGTTAATAGCATTTGCCGAGCCCCAACATGCAGCTGGATTTTCTTGCAGGAACTCCTCTGATGCTCTCTTTGGACCAATCTCTGCCTGGCCTGTATGATTTACCTGCAAGTATTTTTCTGATTCTAGCCCATTGGTACGAAATGCCTGATTATCTTGCCATTCTGTGCAGATCGGCCCCGGCTTTGCCGGGGTCAGGGGAACCCAAGAACAACCAGTCTGGAGGTCTTCCAATTCCGAGACCAGGCCTTTTTGCTTTTCATCCATCCTGGAGTGTTGGATAAAAATCGTATCTTTCCTATTTCCCCTCTTCTTTTTTAGTTATTTCTCTCTTGTAATTGTTTTAGAATTGAGTTGAGACGCCAACTCCACTTCTTCAGCCCTTTCAAGTAATTAACGGCACGGGAGAATCACTTTTCGGCAAATTTTCTTCTCTGTCAACTCTGATTATTGACATATTCTGCTAGATAAAAACGAGAAAATATTCATCACAAAACATAAACATCAGGAACTGGGAAAAATAATAGAAAAATTAAAAAATCAAAAGTGGCACACAATTATATTAAGCCAGCGTTTCCTAATTCCGAAAAATCATAACAAGCAGCTCCAATCAACAGATCTCTTGAAAAAGAGGGTGAAAATCCGGTTCTTTCTCATGGTAGAGCGAAGATTTATAAATTTGATGAAGATAAAACTATTAAGTATAAAATTTGCAATGAAGAAACAGAAAATAACATTATCCTTGCACTGATCTGTTAACAGAATATATTTCGGATTTTGGAAGCCGATGGTTGAAAAATGCAAATTTTGAGGAATTTGGCGAGCATTTACAATCAGACTCACCTAATTGTTTTTGGTCAAGATCTTGTGAAGCGGTGGACGGCGAGACAAACTGAGCAGAATATTTCTTCATAGAAGAGAGAGAAAATAGGAGAGTGCAGTTACAAAGAACAGGACATTTATCCACGTACAGAACAAACTTTGAACTCGACTTTCTTTTCCACTCGTTTGAAATAATCTAACGACTACTTTTAAGTCTCATATTTAATTATTCGTATTTTACGAATATATAATATATTAAGCACAACCTATCTTCGTAGGTTCCTTTTTAATAAAGTGGATAATAGTTATAAAAAAGTATTAAAAGTAGAGATTACTTTCGAGTGTCTTATCTAATCATTCGTATTTTACAAATATATAGGTCGATCTGCATTTTGATTTTCATATTTTGGCCGCTTGTTAATTTATATCATAATAGGTCGATTTAAAAGCTAATTTTTTTTAG